GGATTTATGAGGCAAAAGGAATTGTGGCTGAAAGCTCAAACTTGTCTATTTCTTTCTGTGGCCATTACACCAGCCTGGGAGTGTTCATAGAAAATAAAGGTGGAAGGAACCTGGGAAGCCTCCTTCTGCCCCAAGACAGGATCAGTTGTCCCCATCCTATTCCTGACCCGTGCTTGTCCAGTATGTTCATAAAAACCTCCAGTGAGGAAGCTTCTTCTATATTCTGAAACTGCCCATTCCCATGCTTAACTGACCTTCTTCTCCAGTGTTTCTTCCCAATATCTAACCTGAATATGCCTTGCTGTAAATTATTTCTTGTCTTCTTCATAGGGGACATGGGGAAGAGTCTACTCCTTTCTTCTTTATGGCTGCTTTTCAAAATATTTGAAGACTGTTCCCATGTCTAGTTTTAACCTGCTCTCAGCTAAATCCCCTCTACACCACCCCCACCCCCACCTTCTTAGGTCATATTTTCTAGATCTCTGTCCGTGCAAATTGTTCTGCATTTGATCTGCATCCTTACTGACTGGTGATGCCTGGAGAAGTGCACAGGAGCCCAGCTGAGGCCTTGTTGGTGCCAAGTGGAGTGAGGAAACTGGGAGAATGATATTGCATGTTTTTCACACCATGTTTCTGCCTATACAGGTGGTTTGCCTTTTTCAAAGCAGCACTGCACTGCCTTGGCCTTCCCTTGGGTGGGTCAGCGGTCTGTGAAGGACTGCTACCACAGTCAGAATCTTGTCCTGGATGCCTGCTTACCTTTAGCATCTTTCTCATTTCTTACTGAACAGCACCCCATCTTTCCAGTGTTTCTATAGTTTCAAAGGTACAAATCTTACCCTTCGGGAGGCTTGCAGCCCCCACAGCTTTATACCGTCTCTTATTTCATGGTGGTGAAAAGCTGGTGGAGCTGCTTTGGTTCCCCTCCTTAGGACTCCTGAACCTCTGATGCGTGCAAAGGCTGGGAGACAGGAGATGACAGCCCTGACCACACACTCTCAGTGCTGGGTCACTGCCCCTTGTCCAGCACTTTGTGTCTGCATGGCAGTGAAGGTGGGATGAGGCAGTCCAGAGACCTGACCTTCAACAACGTGTTTGTATCTAGGCAAGGCCAGGACCTGTAATGCTCTAGCTGTAATGCAAAGATGATGTCTCTCTTGGAGATGGGTACCTGCAGTTCTTCTCAGCTTTAGCTCCTCTGTGAATCCTGCAAGTACACTCTCTCTTCTGTCTTCCAAGCTACTAATGGAGATGTTAAATAGATGCAGAAGAGAACCCTGCCAAATCCCAATCATTTCACCCTCTCATTTCAAGATGGACCATTACTTAACCTCTGCTGACTACGATATGCCTCTCCCACCAGTTCTCTTCCCATCACACACTGGTTTCATTTTTATCTGATTCCTTCTCTTGCATATGCAACCATCCCATGAAATAGTCTTAGAGATCTTCAGAAGGTGAAGCAAGGTAATGTCATAGCAGAGGGTTTGCCATGATTTGTTTTGAATGGCCAGCTGGGCTGTTAGTCAATCCCTTCTCTGATGATTTGTTTCTGAAGACCACCGTGAATGGGTTGGAAGTTTTGTTAGCCAATTCCCTAAATACTGTATTGAGAATTTCATCAGGGCCAACCAGTTTGAAAGCATCTGAGGACTTTCTACCTCTTGTTCCAGGGTTTTTGCCTGAGCCACCACCTCTTTGTCACACAAACTGGTTGTTTTTACAATCTGCTCACAGCTGGCTTGAAGGATGAAGACAAGTAAATCACAAAACATTGACTAGCTATTTCCTCTTCTACTAAATTTTGGACTAAACCTTTCCTAAATTTTCCTCCTAGCACACCAGCATAATGATTTCTTGTTACTCTTGTGCCTCATTCATTGTGTCACGCTCTGGGGGCTTGGGGATTTTGCATCTTGTGCTGTACTTTCATATTGCCCTAGAAACCTCATCTCATGCTTGCTTTCCAGGCATTTTATTTTTGTTTTTAGAGCCTCATTTCTTCCTACAGGAAAAAAAATCAATTTTATTTGCCATTTTCTATATTTTCATTGGGCAACTAAAACTTGAACAGTTCTGCCCACAAGTTTTCAAGTTCCCACCAGCAAACGAGACATTCTGTTGAATTTTGTCTGTGTCCAAATACCCCAATTCATCATTCCTTCCCCAGCTCATCCCCAGCTGTGAACATGGGCACACACTAACGCTTTTGCCATCGGCTTGGGGCTACATCCAGGCAGTCAACAGGAGCAGGCTGTTCAGGACCAGCTGGGAAATGCATCCAGCCCCGGGACTGGACCGTCCTTGCAATCCCACAGACATCCCAGTTGTTTGCCCAGGCTCCCAGAAGAGTGGGTAACTGCCCGAGGGGGGCTGCAGTCCCAAGCAACTCATGTCTCTGGAGCAGACCAGCCCATTTTATCATCTTATTTACTAACTGCTCACCCAAGGGAGGGTGCAGGGTTTCTCTTCTTCTGCACATGCCTGCCTCAAAAAAGCCCCCATATTCCCTTGTCCCTCACACTGCTGATACCCGCTCAGTTTGTCTCCTAAGCACCATAGGATTAATTTGGGAGAGGAAACACAGAGCCTGAAGGTGCTACAAGCAGCATCAATCCAGGGAAACCTTTGCAACTTCCTCCCCATTTTCTAGCCAACTCTGTCTTAAAAATCTGGTGTCTGAAAAGCAGGTGTCCACGGGGCTCAACCGCCAGGGCTGACGCTGCGTGGTGTCCCATGGCTTATCTTTTTCTTCCCTGGCAGTGAGCGGTCCCTTGCATGGCGAGGTAGGAGAGCTGCCCTTCCAGCAGGAGGAGTTTGAGAAAGTGAAGCGAGGGATCGTGGAGCAATGCTGCCACAACACGTGTTCCCTCTACCAACTGGAAAACTACTGCAACTAGCGGCGAGGCCAGCGGTGGGGACCTCGCGGGCCACAGGCAGAAACACGCACTTACGCTACTGCACCTTCAAAGCAATTAAATAAACGTTGTGGATCTATTTGAAGAACTGTGCCCATTCATACGTCTACATCTTGGGGAGGGGGCACTGGTGTTTATTTTAGGGTGTCATCCTCTGTGCTGGGGTAAGGTAGTTTGAAAAGGCCCTGGAGTCACACATCACATTACACTATCCTTCTGCTCTCCAAGTGAACTCCCTGGGAGGGAGAGAGGGAGGGAAGAGGATTATGCGGCGCCCGTACACAGAGTTGGATACCCCAGTGCCCCGGTGGTGAGGAGGAGAGGGCAGAGAGGTTTGAACGAGACTTCTCTTTCTAGGGAAACATTACAGTGGAATATCTGTGGCAATGTCATGCTGATCAGCTTCCTGCAGTTCACAGCCCAAATATAGTGAGGCAGCTGGGAAACTGAACTTCCTCAGCTGCGTAATGGAAACAGTTCAGATTAAGCAAAGAATTAAGTCACCTATTAATTGTACCCAGAAAAATCATGGACGACAGCCATGACCAATTTAGAAAGTGTGTCCAGTTCCCCCTTCTGCTTGTGGGAGGCCCAGGCAGAGTCCTTGCTGTGGGATGTGCTTGTCGTTCACAAGTACTTGACAAGTCATGTGCAGAAAGCAGATTTTATCCAAAAGGAGTTTCCAGTGTATTGGCCAAGAGCTGGGCATTTCAGGGCAGCACCCCTGCTTCTGTTGCCGTAAACCTTTTCCATGTATCTGGCCCCAAAATCACCACTTTCTGGGAAGAAAAGGTGTCACAGCAATGCCAACTGGCCAGGGTAGCAGGGAGCATGGGGAAGGGTCATGTCCGCTTTGCCAAGGGACTCCCATGCCTGCATAGTGGAAGCCATGCAGCAGATCCCCATGGGATGGGCGCAGCCTGGCAGAGGTGGCAGCAATGGCCAGGGCTGCATTTTACTGGTGGCAGATTTTGAAAACTGGTCTGAGAGGAGGCTGTGGTTTTAACAGCCTCTTTTCCTAAACCAGATCTGACTGCCTCCATTGGAGCTGTGCAGATGGAAGCTGCCATCTCATCCCTGCCAGGATGTGTTGCTCTCATTACCATGAACACAAAACTGGCAAAACCACTGCAAACTGAAGGGCTGGAAGAGCAGCTGGAGGAGCTGCTGAGAGCAAGACACAACCATAAAATAGGAAATTAGAAAGCCCCAGCAATTCCCCATGGTGGCCCTCCATATGGGCTTCCTTGATGTATCCACAAGCTCGTGACAGGGGCTCCCTCCTGCAGCTGCTACACCAGTGCTGTTCTGCTGGTGATGCTCCCCCAACCACTTTTCCATCCCTCTCCTTTTCCCCTTCCCCTGGGCCCCCTTGAATATTCCCAGCAGCAGAGCTTGCCACTGTGACAGGCAGCCTTGGGCGAAAAACTTGTGGTAATGAAAGCATGGCAAGACATTTGGTGTTTCTGAGCTACTTGGCTCCCACCAAACCTCATAGGATAAAGCTCCAGTGGTTTCTATAGGGGTCTCCTTAGAACCAATTCTCTTACCTGTCCTGGTGCCCCAAGAGATCAGGACCGGTGTTACTGCAATAAAAATAGCAGAGCTATTGCTCATGGTAAGGTCACCATCATATTCAGGCATGCTATGGAGTTCCAGCAATCCCATACATCCATCAGCCCCAAGGAGATGCCACCCTGTGCTGAAAGGCAGAGAAGAGATGCTGCCATTGAGTCTGGAGGGAAAGCGTATCCAAGAGAAGCACTCCCCTCCACAGCTGAAAACCCAAGGCTTGTTGGAGCCACCGGGACTTGTCCTGCATCACCTGGGACCAAGATCCTGCACTCAGCATCAGGGTTCCATGGAAAGCAGGTTCTTCTGAGACAAGACTGAGGCTTTCTAGGGCAAATCTGAGATTTCCATCTGTACCTGCCTGACAAAACTGTACAAGCCTGCTGATGGGAAACGTTGGAAGTATGACTACTGGAAGAGAAAGAGGTGGTGTAGGAGGAGCCTTGAGTGCCTGACTGCCAGACTGATATTAGCACTTATCCAAGTGCTGCATAGTGGTGATGGAAACAGCTGGGAGAAGAGAGATATAGCAAGGTATCTGTGGAGACACCTCTGGTTTCTCTAGAAATGGGGCACATGGGTCATACCGAGGACAGGCACAGACCGGAGCAGTCTGGAGCTCTCATTTGTAATATCAGAGATGCATCTTGCGTTTCAGAGATACCCTACACGTGTTCAGCACCAAGGGGACCAGCAGTCGCTTGCAGTAAGGTCGAGCTCCCACAACAGAGTATGGTGGTTCCCACGTCCACCCCAGAGATGTTTATCTGCTGGCACTCCTGCCCCAGCAGCGATGCTTGGGCAAGGACAGCTCTTCGGAGATGCCCAACTCATTTCCTGCCCTCTGCCATTGTTTGGTTTGCTCGTTTGTTTGTTTGCTTTTTCTGAATGCTCTCAATTAGGACTGGTTGGGAAATTGCAAATGCCACGTTTTTAGCTGGAAAATGTTGATTCATCAAAATCAGCACTTCCCGCAGGACCGGACTGGTTTTAGCAAGGCAGGATTTGAAGGGATGAAGGGACGCGGGAGGTTCAGGTGCCCGCTCTGCAGGCATCAGAGCAGGGATTTCAGCCTCTGCTCCCGATTGCCCAAGACCACATGCTAACCGCCAGGCTCTGGGCTACCCCGGGGTGGACTCATCGTCTTCTGCTGAAAAATTCCAGGAGGTTTCAGCAAACACAGAGTGGGAATTGTTTTGAAATCTTAAGATGGGGCAGGACCATCCTCTCCTACGCAGTTCAAGATGCAGTCTGATATTTTCATGGCAAGTTTGGATGCTAAGTGAGACGGGGGTCTGGATGCACTGGGGGCCCAGCTGGTGATTAGCCAGGGCTGGAGCAGAAAAGAGAGGGATGAGGAGCAGAAAGGGGTTGTGATGGCCATTCCACACCATTCCCGTGCCTTTGTGCCCCCCAGGAAGAGGAGACAGCAGGTCCTCTGGAAGAGGAAGAAGTCGTTCCTTGGAAGGGGAGGGAGTGGTGACCACCTAGGGTCAGGGAGGGAGGGATGGCCCTACCTCTGCTTTGGGGATCCAGGCAGTCTGAGCTCTCTGCAGAGCACATCCAGCTGCTGTTGTTCCCTTCCTCCCCAAAGCAAGAGCTGTCCTGGAGGCATATGGAATACGGTGAGCCACATTGCTCTCCGGGAGGTGCAGGAGAAAATACTAAATCAATTTAAAAGCTGTAGAAAACCTAAAAGAAAAAAAAAAGTCCTTATGAATACACTTTGCTTTCCAGAACTGAAAATAACATAAAGGGATTGGACAGGGCCAGCTCTTCACTTTTGAAAACTGCAGCAAGGTGAAGGCCAGAGGAGAACAAAGGTACTTTTCCCCCTTTTTTCTGGGACACCAGGGAAGGAAGCCTGAAGGCAACCCTACGTACCTTCCACACTGGAGCACACGGCTCCTCAGCTTGAAAACGTGATGCTGACCCTGTGCTGCAGCAGGGCGGGCAGTGTTAGTCCCCTACCCTATCAAACCTGAGGATGGGCAACAGCCCAGGGTGTCCTTAAATGTGGTCCAGGGTGGGATTTCTTTATAAAGCCCCCCTCAAACCCCTGTGCGCTTGCCCAGGCCATTCCCTGCTCTCAGATGCGCTTGGGAGATGCCAGATCTTATGAATTCCTACAGGAGAAGTGACTCAGGGACAGGGAATGCTGCATCCATTGACTTCCCTCCCCGCACCCCCTCCTGACGGGCTTTGCATTGTGATCTTTGGGAAGCAAATGCATCCAACCCCCTTTATTCTGACTCAGCAGTTGCTTTGAAGTGATTTTTTGCGGTAGCGGTGGGGCATCATGCCCGGCTAAAATATCTTGGCTCTGCTACTCTCGCAACAAACTTCCAAAGGTCTCATGCTAGCGGTGGAGGGCAATTTGAAGAGAATGCAAATAAAGGCTTCAGTTCATTCATGCTGCTTGAATAGAGAATTGAAAGCTGAGCCGCAGAGGGGATTGCAAGACAAATTCTTTGGGCTGCTGAGTTGTTAACACTGCCTAGAAAAGAAAGGACCAAAGTTGCCCCCATTTCCTGCGTGCGTGAACCCTTACCCAAAAGAGTTCCACTCCAGTTTTGAGGAAAGAGGATCGATGCGCGAAGAAAAGGGAATGGAGGGGAGCTGCTGCGGGGCACCGACCAGCGGGGTCCACGGTGGCTGGGTGACAGACCATGTCCTCCGGGTTGCTGGATGGGCTGTGCCGCTCCAGCTTATCTGGAGAGGAAGGGAAGACTGCCACTTTCCCGGAGCTAATACGACTGTATTATTTCCTTTTCCGGGAAGCCACAGATAGAAGAACGCTGTCTATTACCCTGAGAACTCACAGGTTCACTTTATATAAGAAAGAGTCAGGCTATACCTTGGAATATTTTTTTTTTTTAACAATCTTATCAGCTTTTTAGGAAATTCTAAGCCAGCTTACTACAGCCTCTCTCCTTATCTGCAGCGTGATTCCTTAATAACTGACTTGCAGCGATGACTTGAGTTGGAAAGCATGCACTGAGCAGATTAGGTGTTAACACCCCAAATTCTGTCTAATTTAGACCAACCTCATGAAAGACACCTATTCTGAACCAAAAAAAAAGCCTTTTTTCCTTCTCCTTTCACCCTGAACAGGAAGAAAGCTTTAGGTCAGGCTATAAATTGATCTGGAAAGTCATTGCCAGCACATTGTGTCTGGGTGAATTATTCCTGCGTGTGGCAGGGAGGAAGTAGGCCTTTTTTTTTCCCAAGCCCAATGCCAGGCTGGCTCTCATGTCCCCCTGGGTTCTGTTGGGCAGAGCAGGCAGGACCATACCCAGGACAATAACGGGAAACGAAGCAAGTCCGTAGTAGCGCACAAGGAAATGATGCGAGCCTTAATCCTTTCCCTCCATCCCCAGCTGGCTTCAAGACTGGTGGTGGGAGGTGGA